TTTTTTACCAGAGAATTTTCTGGTAGCTATGCCTATGAGACTAACACGGAAAATGTTAAAGGGGGGGGCTGAAAAGGGGCCAATCATAAAATTTTCGTTGGTTTCTTTCTTAATTAAAAGATCGACCGTTTCGAGTTCGGCGAGAGCGGACTGAAGATTGGAGCAGATGAGGCTTTGGGAGGGGAGGTTCAGTGTCCAAAGCCCCCCAGTAAGGACACTGGTTCCATTGGGCCACTCGAATAGCACATTTTGCTGAGAATAACTTGTGGTATGTGTAGAAATGGGAGCCCCCGTGTGATAGCGCGAGATCGGCGACAATAGTAAGATAGTCGCCGAGCTCACGTCTCCTGTGAGGAAAAACGGAACAGATGACTTCAGCGTAACGATTGAAAGTGATGGCGAATTCGGAAAATGATAGAATACGAGATTGAATATTTGATGTGTTTTTTAAGGTGACAGAAAATTTGCCGCAGTCAATTTGGCGGTCGGTGGACGAAGGCGAAATAGGAGACAGAAGGGAAAAAAGATCTACGTCCGCACCTGCGAGGATTTGGTTCCGGATGTTACTGGATACAGGGGGAGGGTCCAGGGCAAGGGCGTTTGGTGGCATAGGTAGGGGTGTGGCTGTGGACAGACAGTAGGATGAGCGGGCCTGGGGGATGGGGGGGGGAAAAGTAGCCGCCGGAACCGCCTGCGGAGGCAAGCTCACGCTATCTCGGTGGCTTGTGGAGGGCTCACGCTTGGAACAGCTCGGGGGGCGAGATCGGAAGAAAGAACAGGAAAGAGGGAGGGAATAGCGGGCGCTGGAACCTGCGCTATTACCGGAGGTGGCCTCACGCTTTGGTTGGTCTCGAGGGTGGGAAAAACATAATGAAGGAGAGATGAGATTGTGGGCGTCGGAGCTTTTGCTGCTAGCTGAGGAAGCCTCGCGCTAGAGCTGGATGGTGGGGCTGGGGGCATGGGTAGGGGAGAGGGTTAAGGGTGGGGTGAAACAGAGACTGGGGATGGGGTTGCGCCGCTAGCGGAGGCGTGCTCACGCTATCTCGGTGGCTTGTGGAGACGCGCGCCAGTGCGTCGCCTGGAGGGTCTGCTGGCCGACGGTCAGAGGATCGGGAGATGTTTGCCGCTAGATCAGGTGCGCGGCCCAGGCTTGCCGAAGGCCTTCTGCTGCGGGCCGGGTAGTCGGAGGTTCGTCCTTGGTGGCGTGGTAGTTGGATCGGGCCGTGAATAAGGAGCACTGCGGCCCCGGTTTGTTTTGTCCTTAGCTTTGGACAGAGGAGTGGAGATTGGAAGTGGCGCCCCCGCCTGGAGCGAAGCGTAGAGGGCTTGTAGCTCTGCCTTGTTCAGGCGGGGAGGAGCGAGGATGCCGGCGTTTGAGAGCGCTTGGCGTAACTTTGGCACGGTCCATTTCTCCGTAATAATGGGGGGGGGGCGTGCCACGTGACAAGAGTGATGCGAGACGACTGACACTATGATGGCAGATCTTTAATATAAGTGAGTTTGTCTTTATTGTTGCTGTGTTTTCATTAAAAAAATAATTAGTTTTAAATAGGGAAAACACCTTATTTATTTGGGTTACAACTCAAGTAGGCTATAACTGTCTTATTGATTTTGTTAAAAACAGCTGTAGTGGTTGACCGATATTGGTTTTTTGACAGCCGATGCCGATATGTTGGAAAGCAGGGTGGCCGATGGCCCATATAAAGCCGATATAATTGTATTTATTTTAATTAATATTTAAGAAATTTGAAATCATTTGAAAATGGATTAAAAAAATAATTTGTAAAATAAAACATACTTATACTTTAGATGACAAAGTATTTTCCACAAATAAATATTTAATAAAAATATAA